GTGGTTCAGACATCGGACAAACCCGTAAGTGTGTTTTATTTTAAAGCACAACCGCAATGACAAATCCATGTGAACTGTGTCACAGCTAGCAGCTGAACTGCCCTTCACAGCTGCCAGAGGTGCATTTCTCCCAGATCATTGCTTCTTGCATTGAACTCCAAATCAACCCTTTGCCCGGACTATCAAGTCTCATTACCTCCAGCTGTGTGATTTACCCTTTTAGCTTACCTGTATATATACTTGGCTAACTAAGCTTTGGATTGTGGAGGAATTGCTCCATGCTTGCTGGTGACCGGTCTGTTTTCACCTTGTGTGATGCTTTTTGCGCTTTTGTTTTGTGGATTACGACTGTGGATTACTTTATCAAATGCTGCACATGGATCTTTCATAGAGTCTGTGAGTGTTTTGTGACAGAATTCCTCCACCACAACAACAGATCCAGCAGCTAGGCTGTGAGTATCGGCCTGGGACCATGGGCATCCAAATTCTTCGTCCGGCTTCTAAAAAAGGGAGGAGGCCTTGCTCAGACTTTTTGGACCTTTGCGGTATGGATGGAACTTTGTAACTCTGATTTAAAGAGGATGTTTAATGATTGCCTAGATAACCCCTTGCCTCCTTGGGAGATGGAGGGGCTTAAAACTCTCGACTTTTGGGATTTCATTAATTTATCTCGGTTACCACAATTTGGTAATATCATCGGCATGAGCCCATTGCAGTGCCCCCGGAGAGGACCGAGCCTGCTCCAGTTGATGGTGAATTTTCTCTATCTCAGTCTCACAAGCGATGGTCGGAAGGCAGCAAAATCGACTCAAGTGGTCCCAAGTCTGGTGGTCCTGGTGGACCAGACTCCGGTGGTCCTGGAGGACCCGACCCTGGTGATCTCCAGTTCAGTGGTCCTGGAGTACCCGACTTCGGTGAACTCAAGTCCGGTGGTCCTAGAGGACCTGACTTCAGTGGTCCTGGAGGATCCGACTCCGGTGGTCTCAGATGTAGCCACAGAGCCGCCCGATTTCACTGCTGCTGCCATAATCAAGAAGGTCGTTTTTGCCTTTCACCTCAGGGCTGTTCTGCTTGCATGGGCCGCCTCAGAGTCCACACCAGAGCCTACTCCAGTCCAGGAGCCCTAAGAGTCCACTCCAGAGCCTGCTCCAGTCCGGGAGCCCTCAGAGACCACTCCAGACCCCGCTTAAGTCCGGGAGCCCTCAGAATCCACTCCAGAGCCCACTCCAGTCCGGGAGCCCTCAGAGTCTGCTCCAGTCTATGAGTTCATTCCTGAGCCCGCACCGGTCTATGAGTCTGCTCCAGAGCCCACTCAAGTCTATGAGTACATTCCAGAGTTCTCTTCAGCCTATGAACCCACTTAAGTTTACGAGTTCACTCTTGAGCCCGCACCAGTGTATGAGTCTGCTCCGGAGTCCACTCGGGTCTACGAGTTCATTCCAGAGTTCGTTCCGGTCTATGGGTCCACTCCGGAGCTTACTCAAGTTTATGAGTTCACTCCTGAGCTTGTTTCAGTCCAAGAGTCCACTACGGAGTCTGCTCTATCAGAGTCCACTCCATAGCCCACTCCAGTCCGGGAGCCCTCAGAGTCTGCTCCAGTCTATGAGTTCACTCCTGAGCCCGCACCGGTCTATGATTCCGCTCCAGAGCCCACTCAAGTCTATGAGTTCATTCCAGAGTTCTATTCAGCCTATGAACCCACTCAAGTTTACAAGTTCACTCCTGAGGCCGCACCAGTCTATGAGTCTGCTCCGGAGCCCACTCGGGTCTACGAATTAATTCCAGAGTTCGTTCCGGTCTACGGGTCCACTCCGGAGCTTACTCAAGTTTATGAGTTCATTCCTGAGCTCGTTTCAGTCCAAGAGTCCACTACGGAGTCTGCTCTATTTCCTCCCGAGGTGGTGGTTTCTGCTGCAGAACCTCCCGAGGAGTCCGCTTCAGCTCCCCTCTGGGCGGTGGCGTCCACCTAATTGCACAGCATCTGTGCATATCTAGCTTACTTTAACATACCCAACAAATAACGGCACAGCGGGCGCGCTGGTTTCTTTTGCATTGAAGCAATAACGAGGAGTTGAAAAATGACTGAAGACTCACATCTTGTCTACACCGGACACGAGCAGCGTGACAAAATACCATAGAATCCATTATGATCAGTGATGCTGTCTACACTGGATGTGGTGCGACACGACAGTAAACTGATGCCTCATTCCATTTATGATGTGCTGACACAAAGTTCAAGTGATTTGTAATGCCCGCTTTGTCACATCCAGGCTGGACTGTTGGTTTATTTCAGTAAAAAAGGTTTTTGGCTAGTAGAAGTTATTAATGGCCGGCAACTTAAAAATGTAGTAGCCAAATTGGCTGTTGAATGATAAAGTTAAACTCAATATTTGCGTATCAGATTTAATAGATCAAATATAGTTAATTATTAATGGGCTTAAGTGCGTATTTAAGAAATAAATGTTCATATCACTTCTCTGCTGAAGATATATTTTTATTTATACTTTTATATGTAAGCTATTTATGCACGAATTACTGGTTTTGTGGCTTGATCCTTTAAAAAGAACCAGGAATCACTGTACTTTACTGAATATCCCTTTTAGATTATTATTATAGGCATTACTTAATAAATAAAAATATTAATCGCGAAGGTTTCTTATACTCGCCTTCTAAAAAGTCCTCACGTACCTATATTGCTACAGCTCAAAAGTGATTTTATATTTGATAGTTATGCAGCTAGGTTTGTATGGCTACAATACTATACAATACAATACAATACAATACACATACTGGTAAAAGAATGTATAGCCTGAATGACTGTAAGTCACTTTGGATAAAAGCGTTTGCTAAATGCATAAAAAATTTTTTTTACAATGAGTGTTAATAACAAACTAATTTCATCCCATACATACACAGATTAGAACACGCACACACAATGGAGTAATGGATACATAAATAATTGGATTTTAATACCTGATGTCACGTGGATACTTATTTACTATAAAATAGGAACCGTTAAAAACTTTGAATACAATATTTGAGCCTATATGTTCTCAGAGGTAAACAAGGAAATATGAGCTTGCCATGAAAACATTTTATTAGCACTTTATACAAAGTAGGCTAATGGTTGTGACGCATGAGCAAGGTATAACTCATCTCCTTAAACAACAACAAATAAAATGGTTGTGCTTTAAAACGTAAAATCAGCCACTTGTGTTCATTTTTGTCCATTTCTAAAATACAGTGAATATCATAATTTGTGAATAAAATCCCAACTTCGTACTGATCCGCCGATCCTTATGGAAATATGAATGAAGCGCTAATAAAACAGCTCTTTTCAGCCTGAAGATCCTGGTGGTGCCAGTTATTGTTTACAGATAAACACTCAATCTAACTAAAATTACCATGTTACTAAACAGATAAGATACTATTCTAGATTTAGCATACAATATTTCTGTAATATGGCTAAATCAATTACAAAATCATACACAAAGGAATGCGCATGCTCATGCTTCAAGCGTGCAACAATCAGATTTGCTGGTTTATAAACCAATGGAATTGGAGGTGCACGGAGCAACACGTCAAGAAAATATGATCATATGCTGAATGAGCAGCAAAAGCAGATTGACCAGCTTACTCAAACCTAGCCCGTAGCCAAAGCTCAGCCTTATCCCGGCTTATTCAGCAGCTGTGTAGCCTCTACCAGGTGGGTAAGTCTCGTTCTACTGCATACCATCCTGCCGGTAACGGCCAGTGCGAACGGTTTAACCAGACTGCACAATTTACTGCGGACTTTGCCCACCAGGAGGAAGAGGGGACTGGGCATCTTGTTTGTCCCAGGTGCTGTTCTGCTATAACACCACTCCCCACCAAGACACTGGGGAAACCCCTTACTACTTAATGTTTGGGCAGGAGCCTAGACTGCCTGTGGATTTTTTGCTTGGCCGGGTGCAGGATCCAGTGGCCGGTAGAATCCACCATTGGGTGGAAGAGCATCAGGCTCGTCTCCAAGTGGCCTTTGAGGGCGCCCGTGAGCGGTTGCAAGCGGCAGCCCAATATCGTAAGGCCAAGCATGACCAACGGGTAAGGAAGCAGCCTCTGACAGAGGGCCAATTGGTCTATCTGCAGGAACATGGGTTCTTGGGACGAGATAAGATCCAGGACCTATGGAGTTCGACGGTATACCAGGTAGTCTGGGTGCCACGAGATGGTCAGTCAGTGTACACGGTAGCACCAGTACATGACCTCGGTAAGGTCCGTCATGTTCACCATACGTCCTTAAAACCCCGTATTCAAGGTAATCCAGCACCGACCGAGTCCTTTGGGGGCCGGTCTGAGTTGCCAGCAGCCCTGGTGATGGAGGATGAATTGGAGGATGGGGATTTAGCCTATGTGGTGGTAGAGGCCCCACCAGTCATTCAAGGGGGTGCAGAGGTTAGTAGAGCTCCTTCAGAGGCAAGGGTTAGTCCCACTTCTGGAGTGGAAGGATTGTCCAGCAGGCCTATAGTAGGGGTAAGTGGGAGTGGTGCAAGTTTTCATCTAGAGTCGGGATCCGTCGTTTTGGGACCACCCAATAAATCTGGAAGGGCCCCAAGATGAACCGGACGTGTTGGGGCAGGTCAGCACTCAAACCTGCACCACTTACCGCAATCTGTAGGAAGTGAGGCTAATGTCTACCTTTCTGCCATGTCTACCTTGGGGTCTAACTTTATGGTGGCCTGGTTTAGACCTTGAGATTAGTGGAGTGGTTCATTGTCGGGACTACGATGACTAATGGGGGGGTAGATTGTGGTGATGCGATTAACCATCTTAGTTATTGGGTATGAAATGGTATAATGTGTGTGTGTGTGTGTGTGTGTGTATATAGTTTTATGTTTGGCATATGCAAGACAGTTTTATGAGTGGTCTAAATTGAATAATAAGGAATAATAAATAAATAAATAACAGCAGGTGTGTTTAAAAGCCACTATCACTTCTCACCTGTGAACTTTCTGTTGTTGTTATTGGTATGTTCCTCTCATGTCCTGCCAGCCTGCCTGTTTCTTCTTCAGTCTATTGACAATACAGTGAAAAGTCAGATCAATAATTAAAAAGAACCCTATAAATTGATCTTTATCAGAATTTTAATGCATACCATGTAATAACTATATACATTTTTATATATTTTCATATACTACTTGGCATTGCTACTCTATGCTCATTCAAAAAGATAAAGGACAAGATAATACAATAAAAAACACCATAAAATAAACAATATCATAATTCATTAACCATACATCATAAGCAATTGCGTGGGTATTCTTTTCATGACTTTTTATTGCCTTCAATGTCATAAAACCGATGTGATAAGACTTTTTAAGGACCTGCGGAGACCCTGTATTCATTCTATGTATAAAACTTGATCAACTTGTGTACAAGGCCTAAATCAAATATGGCAACACTTTTGTAACATCAAACCTCCTCGGTGCTTGTGCCATGACATTAAGTTGTGTGACACACAAGGATCAGTGAGGTTTGATGTTAGCGATATGAAAACTACAGAAAGGTAAACAATGAAATGGGGACGCAGTTGTTTTTAGTAATGCAGCTAGTGCTTAAAATGCTCAGGCACTCACCCTGTGTTTTTCTCCAGTTTCTGCTGGTGTGGTGTGCTTCGTTCTTGTGGGTGCATTACCTTGAAGCAGAAAGGTAAAAGGTATCATTTTAAAATGCATTTAACAGCTTAATGTACAAATTAACATTTTAAATGTTAAAAGTTTTTGTATTAATTTGATAGCTTACAATGCTTTTGAGAAACGCAGCCATGGCCCTTTAAAAAAAGTTAAGTTGATCGTAGAGTCCAAAGATGGCAATGCCGATCTACTTTGGCTTAATAATGCTTTTAGGAAACACAGCACAGGTCTTATAAAAGAACTATTTACATGCTTTTTTTTTTTTTGAGGAATTGTTCTCACTTGCCTGTTTTTTTTTTTACATTCTTATGTATTTATTTATATTACATAGATAGATAGATAGATAGATAGCGTTTCCTACTAATGAAACTAGGCAGGTTCTCAGTCGATCCCCCCTCCCCCTTTAAAAAAGAAACCTGATCCACAAGGGGGCAAGCAAAGTCTTTGAGGTGACCAAGCACCTCTGCCTCCTTGGTCACACAACAGGCTTGGGATCTGAGCCCGCAAGGGAATGAAGGGTATGGACATGGGACACAGGGGAAAGTCCAAGGGAAGTGGCCCTTGCTCGCGACATCATAGCTCCTCTTCTTGCTCGCGACATCATAGCTCCTCTTCTTGCTCGCGACATCCATAGTTCCTCCCCTTGCTCGTGACATCATAGCTCCTCCCCTTGCTCGCGACATCACGTCACTGTCACGTGTGGCATCAGAGCACCGCGATATCGTTTCGAGAGCAGCCGGCTGACTCAGCTGGTGCAGCTTTTTCAGAGCGACTGTAGGAGCGCTGATGACGACACAGCTGTTTCACGATTGGCCAAATTCACCACATGACAACAATGACGTGTGTTTCTAACATCTTCAAATCCAATACTGCTCATAAATCTGTGTTTTTAGAACATTTAAAGCTTTTTTACTGTAGTCGCAAGTTATATTGAGTCACATTTATCATGAAAGCATATATACCCCCACTTTATTAGTATTTAAATAGTATATATTTACGTTGAACTTTATTCTTGAACAGATGGTGCTGTATTAAGCAGTATATAAAAAGTATTTCTGTTGCTCATGAAAATGTTTCTGAAACGTCTGTGTATTTGACAAATATTGCATTTAATACACTTCATCTGTGATAGAGTATGCAAACACCGCGTGAGCA